TTGACCAGACTCAAACCTGAGACTCATTGGTCTGTGGGCCAACACTCTAATTGCTGAGCCAAACCGGCCAGAGCTCCATCTTATTTTCGATGCTTCAAAGTATATTAAAGTTCATCTACTTGGTTTTCAAACCAAATAAAAGAGCTGCTCTTCCATATAAACCAATAATTGATTAATTTACTAATGCATTTTTTTTACTGATTCGTTCTCACCTCTTGCACTTGCTGCTCATTCTTGCACCATCACTGGTGGCTCTGGCGAGGCCAGTGTGTTGTTCCTTATGGTTTGGGAGTGAGGAAAATAGGGGAACATAACCTGTGTGAATCATGTAGCAAATTAGAGTAAATGAGCTCTAAGTAAGGGGCTGGAGATTTCTTCTTACCTAATACCATGCGCGAATGTTATGGTACCTATTTGGCTTCCAAGAGATATCATGGCAGTCTTAGAATATTTATGGAAGGATTGACTGATATTCTCCAGGCTTTCTAGGAGAAACAGAATTCCTTGCATTGCTCTTAATATTATTATATTATTACATTTACAGTGTATACTCTTCATGAAGAATTAGTTTATCATTCAACCAAGTACAAATTGTGACACCTATAAGAAGTAGCATTTAAGTATCCCAGTTCAATTTCTTAATGCAATTTCAACTTTAAAATGAAAGCCACTTGACATGATCAACTCTCTTTGGTCTCTGCTATGCAGAAGCCTAAGAGGGTTAAATGCTGAATCATTAATGGCTTTTGGCCTAATGGGCTTTTTAGCTGATAGAAGCCAAAAAAGCTGAGCTCTTAAAAAATGAACCTGTCAGTGAATAATAGCGCTGCATGGAAGAAGAGAAGAAAAATGATTCATTTGTGAGATATTGTTACACATTTTTGGTCTGATTTGAAGGTGGAAGTGTCCATAGCCATCAGTAAAGTGAATGAGAATTATATTTTAGTTCAGTTGAGGCATACTTGGTACCCTATGAGAATAGGAAGCAATGGGAAAATTTTTGTTTTGTCTTTCCTTCTTCTCATCAAAGGCTTATAAAAACATCAGATTACTTCTCCTTAAAATGGGTATATCATAATTATTAAAATTATGCCTTTTCATTCTCAAAGTGTTTCAGTTTGGACAATTAATTATATAGTCAGTGTAAATGAGACCAATTAGCAACTGAACTTCGGCCACCCAGCCTGTCTTAAATCTCCCTACTCCTTTGACTCAGCTGAATTTAGATTTGAACTTTGATCACTTATCTGCCTTTGCTTTTTTCCAGCCCCGACATATGGTATTTTACATTTGCAGCTCTTCTCTTGGTGTTTATCACGGTCTTCCTTCTACTGGTCAGCTCACTTTCTTCTCCTTCCAGGAGCTCCTCTGGATTTCATTCATTCATTCATTCATTCATTCATTCATTCATTTTTTAAATCCTCACCCGAGGATATTTTTCCATCTATTTTCAGACAGAGTGGGAGGGAGGAAGGGAAGGAGGGAGAGAAACATCGATGTGAGAGAAACACACCGATTGGTTGCCTCCTGCACGCCCCGACCAGGGCTGGGGACTGGACCACAACTGAGATACATGCCCTTGACAGTAATTGAACCTGCAACTCTTTGGTCTGCAGGTCGACTCCCTAACCACTGAGCAAAACCGGCCAGGGCTCTTCAGGATTTTAAATAATGGTGAAGAAGGCTTCATAACCTGTCTGCTCAGAGCACCTCTGGTGGTAGTGTTGTAGCTCACTGTCCTTAGAATCCAATAAAGAAAAACAACTTGTCTTTGAGCTGCCCTAATTAACAACCTCAGGGACAGCAAGAAAAGGGGGAAATGTTATAGACGGCTTTAGCCCCATAAAAAGTAACCAGAGTTTGACCTTCACTGGGAATTTGAAAAGCAACATCCTTCAGGAAAAGGGAGGACAGAAACGGCCCCAAGGCCAGAGTGTCCTGCATGCTCTGTGAAGAAACTGATAGGGAGAAACTGAAGCTCCCTTTACCCCATTAAACTGTAACTGTTCAACATGTGTGTATTGCACCTGACTGACCGCTGATATCCGTCTCGAACTTCTTAGTTTTTAAAACCTGGATAATGGAATGAATAGCAGGATAGATGTGTGCTGACCCAGTTCACCCAGTTCCCTTTCGCCTCAGCTCCCTCCCACCTCCGTTCCCTCCTGCTTATTGCTAACTGCCTCTGCTTCTGTACACGCAGCTTGCTTGCTCTGCTAAACTCTTGAATGACCCCTGCCCTCTATAAGCAACCCTCCCCCTGAGCTCGGGGCTGCAGTTCTCCTCTGTGCAGGTTGGCTGCAGTCCCTGCGCAGGTAATAAAGCATCCCCCAAAACTGAAAAATTGAGTCTGAGTGTGGTCGATCTCCTGGGTTACAACAGTAGGATTTCCTTTCCAGGAATGGCTCCCCTGGAAATGTATATTCACTTTCCAGATGGTGTAGTTTCAGCCTGTGCTTTTTGTGTTTGCGGAATATAAGCTCCCAGGAGTCAGCTGGGCATGGCTTAAGGTTTCCTGTTCTGTGGTACAAACTATGGGAAATGGGGAAGGGTGAGGATGAATAAAGCAATGAACAGTGTGATGGTGGTAGGAAAATAGCAGTGCTTGGTGATGTGTTTGCCATTGTCCCTTCACAGAGAAGAAGGAAGCATCCTTTGTCAGTTTGGGCACTCACCTCCTGTCTGTGAGTATGCTGAGCAGCGGTGAAGAGAATGGATGAAGCAGAAAGCAATCTGATTTTGAGAAAGAATGAGATAGTGAACTTGGTGTGCAGAAACGGGGAGGGACAATGCTGATTCCTTGTCCCACTCCAGGGGCAACCTTTCATACCAAGTGAATGGCATTCCTAGCTGTTTACATTCTACAGCGCACCACGTGAGAAGGGCTCCCCGAGGCTGTGCACCTTGCCAGTCCTCGTGGGATGGGCAGAGATGTCTGGTGTTTGCAGCTGAGGATTTGATAAAAAGACAGCTGCTGAGGGAAGCACTTCGGGGATATAATGTGTCGAAAAGGTTTTTTGGGCAGCTTTTCATTTATTCAACAAATGATATATTTTGTCCTGTGCTCTGTTCCAGGCACTGTTATAAACTGGAGATGTCGTCATGGGCCTTATGTATCTCTTCAGCTAGCTGTTCATGGTATCCTTTAATAAACTGGTTAATGTTTCCCTGGGTTCTGTGGACTGCTCTAGCAAATTAATCAAACCCACGGAGGAGGTCTTGGAAATCTCCGATCTATAGCTGGTTGGTCAGAAGCACAGGTGATAACCTGGGCTTGCAACTTGCATCTGAAGTGTGTGGGGGGTTGGGGGTGGTGGGAGGTCTTGTGGAACTGAGTCCTGAACCTGTGGGACCCATGCTGTCACCAGGTAGATAGTGTCAGAATTGAGTTGAATCCTTGGACACCTTTCTGTTGTCTGAGAATTGCTTGTTGGTCTGGGGGGAAAACCTCCACACATTTGGTGACCAGAGTGTCAGAGTGAGGTGTTTTGTGTGAGTAATGAAGAAGACTCACAGGGAGGAAGCACATAGCAGGGAAGAACGGGGTTTTTCCCTACACAGGCGGAAAGCTGAGTGTTTTCCATTCTATTATCTAAGTGGGTAATAGTAGACAGAACTCTGTTCTGGCAGAGCCTACATTTTAGAGAATGGGGACAGACAATGGACAGATATAATAACACAGATTGTAGGGCATTTTTGGGGATGACAAGTATTAGGGAAAAAACACAGAAGGTGAGGGGGATCTGGAGAGCTGGAGTTCAGGGAAAGTGATGCAAATTTAAAAAGCAGTCAGGGTAGACTTTGGAGAAGAGGTGACATTTGAGCACAAACTTGGAGTGGAGGGAGAGAACCAGGCAGATATCTGGTACAAAGCCTTCCAAGCAGGGGGAACAATCCATGCAAGGTGCCTGAAGTGGACGTGTGTCTGGTGTGTTCAGAAACAGCAAGGCCACTGTGGCTGTAGGTAGTGGGGGAGGTGGGGAGCAGGAGATGAAGTGAGAGTAAGGAGGATTAGGCAGGTGATGTCGGCTTGCTTGGAGGTCAGTTAACTTTGAGGGAAAAGGGAGCTCTGGGCTCTCAGCAGAGGCTTTTCATTGCCTAATGCATGTTGATGGATACTATGCAATATAAACCCTGCAAGAAATCGTCAGTATTTGGTGTGTGTTTAATGCGACACAGTGCTAATTCTTTGTATGCTACACGGAATTACAGAATTGCAATTCATTCGTATTACAATAGGCTCTGTTTGTAGTACAAGGCTTTCCGCATAGAGGCACTTGTTGAATGAATGAGTGAACAAAGGAATCAACAGATGAGGCTGGCATTCTAGCCCCCTCCATGTAGTCCTCAACCTAACATTTCAACCCTACTGCCCCATCCACACCCATTCTCAACTTGGCTTCTATCCAGCTGCCTGCCCTTTCAAGTATGCATTACTGCCTTTGTCTTTGTTCACCCCATTTCCCGTTACTTGAAATGTTCTGCCTAAATCTTCTCCATTTGGTTCAAATTCTGCCTGTTGTTCAAGACCCGGGACACACCCCCCTTCCCCCGGGAAGCTGCTCTGGCCTTTTCTGAGCGTCCACAGCAGCACTCCCGATACTGTCACTGTTGGCGTCGCATAACTTTTCGGTGTTTATTTAAAAAAACACCGTTTGCACTCTTTCTACGTGATAAGCAACAAATACATAGATACATGCTAGCATCTCAAGAAGATGCTTCTTTCTACCATTTTCATTTTACGGAAGCTCACTGGAGAAGAGGGAGTCAGACTTGGCCGATCCCACGCAGATTCATAAGCCAGGAGCGCAGTGGGACCCAGTCGGGCCCCAGGCCAGCCGCAGGCATCGTCCTTTCCATTCACGAAAGGGTTAACCGGGCTCTCCCTTCCACCGCCGTTGACTCCGCCCTCTGCCCGCGAACGCGGAGCGGCCGCCGCCGGGGAAGCGTGTCCCTCGCGGGAGGCCGTAGCGCCCCGCCCTCCGCTGTCCCGGGCGGGCATGGCGGCCCCCGAGTCCGCGCCGGCCGGGCTGCCAGGCGCCGCGGAGAGCGAGGAGGAGACGATCCTCTACGACTTGCTGGTCAACACTGAGTGGCCCCCGGAGACGGAAGTACAGGTGACCCCGAGCTCTCTAGGGCTGCGGCCAGCTCGGCGCAGACGACGCCCCGGCCGAGCCACGTAGGAAGGGCCACGTAGGGCAGTGGCGCCGGGTGGGCGGGGGAGCGGGCTCAGCCGCGCGTCGGGTTGCCCTAGCAACGGCGCGGGGGGCTGGCGGGGGTCCGGGTCCCCTCGGCCCGGCTCCCGAGATTCCTCGCGGGCTCCGAGTGGGCTTGTCGGCGGGCGGCACCTCGGGGTCTGGTTCGGACTCCCTGGCGGTGCCTGGCGGGGGCTGCGGCGTTGGCCCCCAGGGCCCCGGTCGCACCTGACGGCCGGCGGTCCCTGCCCGCGGTGGGCCAGCGCCGGTCCCCGCAGTGGGAGAGGGTGCCAGGTCGTCTCCGCTTCCGGCCGGCCGCCCCGGAGCGTGGCCGCGACCCCGCTTGCCCTCGGGGCTGCACCGCGCTGGTTCTGGTGTGTTTCAGTCCACAAGCACTTCCCGCGTGTGTGTGTCCGTCCGTGTCCCGACCCTGTGCCAGGCATCGGGCGCTGGGAGACGACCCAGGGGACATTTCGGCAGTGAGCACAGTGACACCGCTGTGAGCGCAGCGCCTTAGGATGAAGAGGAGGCGCTGCGGACCCGCGTCGGGCTCTGCTAAAGCGGGGGTCCCGGGCTTGGCGGCCTGAAATGGACCTTGGGGTCATCAGTCGTTCCCTAGGGAGGACTTCCCAGGCGCTGGGCGAACAGTGGGAGCCAGGAGGCAGGAGGCCACACTGACCCAGCAGCTATGTGCCTCGCGTGCCAGTCCCTGGTTAGACTGAGGATGCAGCGAGATGGAAAAGCGCCTTTCCTGAGGATCACCGAGCCCAGCCCCTAAGTTCTCCTCTACAACACTGTCCTGCAGTGTTTCTGTCCTGCAGAAACTAGTCATTCTACGAAGTTTGTCGTTTTTCTTGCACTTCCTTCCCACTGCACTTTCTGCTTGTCCTAAATAATGTATTTTGTAGGCTGGCAGAGATCTGTGTATGTTATTATTTTTCAGGTATTTATTTAGGTTCTCTTTGTCTTGGACAATGGAGTATTTTATAGGTTATGCAGCCAGGAAGTGGTTTATTGGTTAAATAAGGGTATGTTTCTGCCCCTTAGCCCTCACTGGTTAATTGCAGTAATGTTTCAGAAAAAGCACAGCATCAACTTACATTGAAACCTTCATGGCACCCTTTTTGGTTCTGTTGTTTTCAGCTGTCAAACAACAGGCTCTTGGAGGGCAGCTACCTCTGATTTATCTTCTGTATCCATCTTTATATCCCTCCCCAAGACCAAATTGTACCTTGCATAAAGTGGATGATCAGTTCATGTTTGTTGAGTGAAATAACTTTTCTGTGCTTTTCAGTCATTCTGTCTGCATTTACCGTATGACCTTGTTCCTTTTCTAAAGCACATTAGTGCATCTTACTCAGTATTTGTAGTGCCTAGAATGGTTTAGCCCACACAGCCTTTAATCTACATTTAACTATTTTTTTTCATCCTCACCTGAGGACACTTTTTTTGCATTATCTTCAGATAGAGCGGGAGGGAGAGAGGAAGGAAGAGAGAGAGAGAGAGAGAGAGAGAGACATTGACATGAGAGAGACACATTGACATGAGAGAGACACATTGAATGGTTACACACCCACATGACCCCAACTGGGGCTGGGGACAAACTGCAATTGAGGTACGTGCCCTTAGGGGGAACCAAACCCAGGCCTCTCTGGTCCTCAGACCAATGCTCCAACCGCTGCGCCAAACCTGCCAGGGCCATTTAGCTATTTAGTGTAGCAATTATATATCAGTATGTGCCTTAGTAGCATTTTCTCTGTGGATATACAAAATTCAATAAATCTGCCTCCAGACATGAGTTTATTAATCTATATAAACCAGTTTCCTGCAAGCAAAACTTGTTTTAGGCCTCTCCAGCCCCCAGAGGAACTGAACTGGGAACCAGTGTGATCTTTGCCCTTGATTTCTCTTGTCTTTGGACTGGTGTTTTGATTTGAAATAGTTTCCAGCCTGAATTCTTCCTTGTCCTCTGCAAAATTCATCCTCACAAATGCCTATAACTCCGTTATGCTCACTTGTACTCCCACCGTTACCACGCTTGCTTCTACTTATTTCTGCCTATAAGTAGTTTTTAAATACTGGTAATTTGTACAAGTAGAACTTTACATATTGTGTAAGGATTACTGGAAAATTCTTAAATGTGTGTTTTTTTCTCCCCATTTGCAGCCTAGAGGCAACCGAAAACATGGTGCATCCTTCATCATCACAAAAGCAGTTAGAGGCAAGTATAGCTTATTTATTTTTTTACATGTAAGTATGTAGTTAGCAGGTAATTCTGCACCCCCCTCCCCCATTTCTTTCGTAACTGCACTGTTTGAGAAAGTTTAGGAATTTTGAGATGTGTTTTTAGATTTCTGATGTAGAGCCTGATAAAAGTGAAAAGCATACATGTTATCTGAGTTCAGTTTTATATATGTGTATATTCTAATGCTATATGATATGTGTATATACACACACATGTGCACACGTATATGTATGTAAATGTGTGTCTGTACACACACACTCTTTTTTAAAATATGTTTAAAAATTTTTTTTTCTTTATTGATTTTAGAGAGAGAGGGAGAGAGAGAGATAGAAACACTGATGGTCCGCCTCCTGCATCCCCCTCACCCCCTCGCCCTGGGGATATGCTGTGACTGGGACTTGAACCGGTGACCTCGTGGTGTGTTGATCGATGCTCAACCACTGAGCCACACTGACCTGGTTGTGCACACACACTTTTAATGCAGTGGAGAGCTTATGTATGGTCTGAATTAGCCATTATAGATGTGTTCTAGAAGAAATGAAGAAAATCAAACTGAGTATGAGTCTTGTGAGAATGGACATTGAGGATGAAAAGACAGTGACAGGCCCTTTTAAGTAGTTTATGTGATGTTTCAGGTACATCTGGTCAGAGTTATTAAAATTACACAATTGATTGACCAGGGCATTCATTTAATTGCTGGCAGACTTTACATTGAGCTCACAGGCTCTGAGGAAGCATCTCTCTAGCAGTACTGAGCAGGTGCTGGGAGGGCTTTATGGGTATTCATTGATACAAACCTTTACCAGGCAGGCAAGGTAGGTGCTGATGTGAGTTTATGTATTTAGGTGAGGAAACTAGCCCAAGGTCATTCATTTGGAATTTGACTACATGCCTTCCCGGTTCCAGAGCCTATCCTTATTATCCTGGTGAATATGAGCTACTTATAAAGAGAAGATTCAGTTTCAACGGAGTAGAGTATTTGAACTTAACTATAATTTTATCCTCTGATAAAGATAAAATAATTTTATCTTCTAATACAAGAAGTGCTAGCATCTTTAGTTGTCGTTATCACAAATGCTTTGAAATTCTGAAAATGTAGAGAATGTATACAAGTAAGAAAATGTAGAAAATTTAGAGAATATAGATGACCACAAATTAGAGTGTAAATTATTCATTTTGCCACCTACAGGTGATTGATTTGTTATCCTTCAGACCGTTTTCCAGTGATACACACGTAACTGCATATACATGTTCCCACACACAAATATATTTTAAATGAGAGCATATAAAACATTATTTAAAACATTGTTATTATTAGTGTATTAGAGATTGTTTTTCATGGACTTCCCATTTTTGGATATTGTTATTTAAATTTTTGCTATAAAGTATAAAATAAAATTAATTTTTTATAAAAATACATTGCTTTGAAAGGGTGAGTACTATGATTTCTACTCCATGGTTTATTAAAGCCTGTTTGGCAAAATTTAGCATCTAAAATCAGTTTTACTTTTTGTACTATTGGGAAATATTGCAAAGCTTTGAATTCACCAGTTTGAAATTTAATATAAACAAATATATGATCTTGTAAAAGTTATAGTGTGTTTTAGATTTTATTTATTCTCTTATTTTAAGAGTTGTACTCTCTCTGTTTTGTAATGACTCAGTCTACAGTGTATTTTAGATTTATCATCAAGAAATCTAACTTGAAATTGATTTCTAAGGAACTCCTGATTCATATTTGGCTTTACTTTTTTTTTTTTTTTTATTACAGATCGTTTATTATTTTTACGCCAATACATCTGGTACAGGTGAGTCTTCAGTTCCACAAAGAGTCTGAACATTGCCCTGGCCGGTTTGGCTCAGTGGTCAGAGCGTTGGCCTGCGGTCCAGAGAGACCCGGATTTGGTTCCCGCTAAGGGCACGTACTTCAGTTGCAGTTTGTCCCTGGCCATCGTTGGTCGTGCAGGTGGCAGCCACTCGATGTGTCCCTTTCACGTTGATATTTCTCTCTCTCTCTCTCTCTGTTCCTCTCTCTCCCTCCCACTGTATCTGAACAAAAAATGGAAAATGTCCTCGGGTGAGGATAAAAAAATAAAAAGAGTCTGAGCATCAAATACAAGCAATGTTGTCCTGTTTATGATTTAAGTGTTCAGAACTGAATTGTGATACTGATGCTGACATTCAGGTGAACCCAGTTTATAAAATAGACATTTCAAACATTTGGCGTACCCTGGCGGGATATCCTCGTAGACTTAGGGGAGTTTTTGTTCCCTTAATCATTACTGAGAATGTCTCCTGACAGCTTCTGCTTTCACTGTTGTGCTTTCTCAGCCTCGGGAATGTCTGCATGATGGATCTGTAGCTCACAAAATTTTCAAACAGCTTTTGTCCCAATTGTCCTGTCCCCTCTCATGGTCAGGACTCAGTTGCTGTGCACCGGAGACGGTTCTTTAGGTGTCAATTCTTGGTTCCTTTTGAATTCTTTTGAGTGTTATGTATGTTTTCAGGCACAGTGCTAATTTTGAGCCTGAAAAGGAACAGAAAAATGATTCTGACAGGATAGAATTCAGCTCTTAGATACATATGTAGGGATTGTTTTATGCAATTAGTTATCACAGATTGCTTTTTCCTTGAGGACATCTAATCTTACAAGCTCTAGAGATAATACAGTTCTATAAAAGAGACCTTTGGCACTTCTCTAGGACTACTCCAGTGCTTTCTGCATTTACTCTGTGGTGTGTGTGCTTCACAGTGAGGTTTTAAACTGGCTGATGTGTTGTGGTTTCAGCCCTGCACCGTTTTTGCTCCCTGATGGACTGATTCGCTTGGTTAATAAACAGATCAACTGGCATTTGGTCCTCGCAAGGTAAGGATGTATGAAATGCATATAATGTTTCTCTACTGGGATTAGCATTTAAATTTCATGGTGGCATTAATTTTGGGGTGTTTATGGCTTACAATTTTGATATTTACTGTACATAAATTCCCTTGCACACACATGTGGTCAGTATTGTTTAAATATGTTAATTCAAGCTATATGTGAATTACTGGGTGCTCTTGTACCACATGCTCATCTAATTGTAAGGTTAGAAGATGGATAGTGAAAGCATGTGGGAAAATTTAAAGATGATTTTAACTTGTAAATGTCACTCCATCTGTGTGGAAGACTGCTACAGATGTCACACCGATTTTTCTCTTCTTTCTCCCCATGAAAGCAATGGAAAGCTTTTGGCTGCTGTTCAGGACCAGTGTGTGGAGATCAGGTAATTGTTAATATTCATATGAAAAAATCTCCTTTGAGAAGCATTTGACTTGACTGATGGGAACTGAGTCTTAAAGGTGGCACAGCTAAAGGAATTTTCCTCTTAACTCACGTTGGTGAGGTGTCAGACACCGAAGTACAGCGTGAAGGACACTTTCTTAGAGGAGCACGTTCGTCTGTCCACTTCCCCAGATCTCTCCGCTGTCTCCTGAGGAATTTTGCTTTCCCAGTAGGTGCTGCCTATTTTCCAGAACTCTGGAAGTCACTCTTGTTTGACTGTTTGCTGAGAGGTCAGCTAAGTAAGTGCTTAGGGAAGTATGAAAAAGCAGGATCCGTGTTGCTCTGTCATCTTACAGCTGTGAGTGGACTATGGGTCTGCACAAGACCGAGAGTACATGTCACTGGACACTAGTGACACTCTCTGTCCTCTCGAGACATTCAGTGGCATTCCCATACACCCAGAAGGCCTCTCTAAGCTGGGCTTTCCCTGCACTTTATTTTATTTTATTTTTTTTAAATATGTGTTTATTGTCCTGGCTGGGTTTCTCAGTGGTTAGAACATCAGCCTGTGGATCAAAGAGTCTCTGGTTCAATTCCGGTCAAGGGCACATGTACCCCAGTTGCAGTTCAGTCCCTGGCCCTGGTCAGGGTCACACGGGAGGCAACCAATCCATGTGTCTCTCTCACATCAATGTTTTTCTCTCTCTCTCACTCTCTCTCTCCCTCCCTCCCATTCTATCTGAAGATAAATGGAAAAATATTCTTGGGTGAGGATTGGGAAAAAAAAAAAAAAAAAAATATATATATATATATATATATATATATATATATGTTTTTATTGATTTTTTTAAAAAGAGAGGAAGAGAGAGAGAGAAACATCAATGTGAGAGAGAAACATTGATATGCTGCCTCCTGCACGCTCCCTACTGGGGATCAAATCGAACCAGGACCTTCCAGTCCATGGGATGACACTCAGTCCACTGAGCCACACTGGCCAGGCCATGTACTTTATTTTAATTTATCAGTTATGAAAGTGATGAAACAATAGCAACTAACTCGGGAAAACACGTTCATTCTTTGGGGATTTAGAAACAGCAGACAAAATGTGTGGCGCCTCTAAAAGTGGGGCCTGCCCCTTTCTCCAGACAAGGCCTAACCTCCTAGTTCTCAAGAAAGAAGCGATGAGGCAGAAATTTCAGGGTGCCTGGACACTTCATTATTCTGGACTAAAATCAGTATTAAAGAAAATTCAGTTGTGACTGCACTGGTTTTTAGCTTTCTGTTGTAAAATTTCTCTCTTCCCATTTATCCAAACAGAACTGGACCTCTCAATTTTGGAGGGACTAGTGAAAAGGTTTGCCCCATTGGGGTATAGACTTTAGAGGGGGAGGCTTCGAGATCCCTCTTAAAGTCATTAGGATAGAAATGATTGGCAATAATGACAGCCTTTTAAATTTCTATTTTATTTTTATTTATTGATTTGAGAGAGAAAGAGAGAGGAAGGGAGAAGGAGAGAGAAAAACATAGGTTTGTTGTTGCACTTTTTTATGCAGTCACTGGTTGCTTCTTATATTGTGCTCTGACCCGGGATCCAACTTGAAACCTTGGAGTATCGGGGTGATGCTCTAACCAACTTAGCTACCTGGCCAAGGCCAATTATCCCAGCCTTTTAAACTACATTGCTTAATTTGGCATGGCTTAAAGGGCAGGTTCCTTTTTTTAACAGCATCATTAAGCATCACGCTGGTGCAGTATTTGACTTACATTATTCATAGAAATAGGCTAGCATTCCCTCTTCCGTGTGTTACAGTAATGTGAAATGCATCTTTTTGAGAATTGTGCTAATGGTGTGACTTCTTTTTTTAAAATGTATTGGGGTGACATTGGTTAATAAAATTATATAGGTTTTAAGTGTGCAGTTATATGGTGTATCATCTGTATATTGCACTGTGTGCCCATCACCCGAAGTCAAATCTTCTGTCACCATATATTTGACCCCCTTTCCCTCTAGCACCTCCCCAACCCCCTTGCCTCTGGCAACCACCATACTGTTGTCTGGGTCTGTGAGTTTTTGTTTGTTTTTCTTATTTTTTCATTTGTTGCTTTCAGTTTTATATCCCACATAGAAGTGAAATCATATGGTTCTTGACTTTTTTTGACCGACATATTTTGCTTAGGACAGTATTCTCAAGCTCCATCCATGTTGTCACAAATGGCAGTATTTCATCTTTTCTATGGCTGAGTAGTATTCCACTGTATGTATATGTACATCTTCATATCCACTCATCTGTCGAAGGCCACTGGTTGTTTTTATGTTTAAACTCACTTGTGCTTGTACCACTTTATTCTTGGTATTGCTCCATTCCTGATGTAAAAGAACTGTTGGAAGAAAATATTGTCACTAATGAAAGGGTCTTCTTTGAGGCACAGAAGTGTCTCTGTAAGAGAAGGACTGGTTCAGTATTGTGTAGAGGAGCTGTCCAGGTGTAGTATCTGGGGTTGTATAGTAGTACACAGGAGTGTTGTTAATGGTGAAACAGTTGTCTTCATTTTGTACGTATGTTGCAGGTCTGCCAAAGATGACTTCACATCTATTATTGGGAAATGCCAAGGTAAGAGTTTTCAACATATCTAAGAAATGAACATTTCAAATCTGCAATCATTTATAGTCTCTCTTAAAAGTCAGAATAGGTATTAAGTAAATATTTATTAACAGGGATTATTAAAACTGCTTATTAAGATAATTTTCAAAAACCTTAACTGATTTCTCTTGCTGTCTTAATTTTGCTTTAGGATGAGCATTTTGGAGAAATTTGAATTGAAACTTAAAAAAAATATATGTTTTTATTGATATTTTAGAGAGAGAGGAAGGGAGAGAGAGATAGAAACATTGATGTGAGAGAGAAACATCAATTGGCTGCCTCCTGCACGCCCCCTACTGGGGATCAAGCCTGAAACCTGGGCATGTTCCCTGATGGGGAATTGAACTGGGACTTGTCAGTGCATAGGATGCTGCCCAGTCCATTGAGCCACACTGGCCGGGCTGAATTGAAACTTTTAAGAAAGTCTAAGCCAGTTTTGTGATCAAGTATTTGTAAGTGTCTGTAGTCTTTTATTTTGAATTCAATGAAGGAATAATATTTTGGTATAAACCAAGAGTTGGTCCGATACAGATTAGTAAAAACAAGTCTGGGATTTGATCATTCTTTGATATAGTAAGCAAGAATTTACTGAGTGTCTTTTATGTTTATGAATTGTGCCTGGCTACTTGGGGTGTAATTGTGAACAAAAAACCTGGTCGCTTACCTCGTACAGATGATCAAATATGTGGTTATGAACTTTGGCAAACCTGATGGAGGAAAAATACAGAGTCTCTCACCAGGAGCGTGAGATGAGATTGTTGAGAAAAAGTGACTTTTGGAAAGCAGCGCTGAGCGCGAGTAGAAGGTGGGAGCCTCGGGGAGGGTTTCCATCTGCAGGAGCTGCAGGAAGCAGGAAGCGCCTGGGAGGAAGGGAAGAGGACACTGTTAGGTAAACGCATCTGTTGCCGTGTGTTATTTGCAGGACCTGCCGTTCCATCTGCCTGACCTTGTGTTAGTTTAGCAGGGTAGTAGCTGTAGGGATCTTGATGATGGTGATCCTGGTCATTATGATGACAAACATTTATAGTGTCTTTACTGTGTGCCAGGCACTGACTTTTTAATTGGAGGAACATGGTGCACATAGTTTACCTTAAAGCAGCATTAGGATAAAGTAAATATTTGACAGTGAAAGGGAGCCTGGAGAAGGGAGGCATGGGTCCTTATGAAATCTACAAAATGCTGAAATAGCATTCTCGGAACACCCCATGGAAGCGGGTCTTCAACCTCCTTGTCAAGTGCACACTGGTGGCCTGAGGCCAGTGTCCTTCTGATTTTTCTCATCCTTAGCCATCCAGATGTATTGAGCGGATAAAAATGAAATTTTTTTTTTTTTTTATCCTCACCCGAGCACACTTTTCGATGTTTTGATCAGATAGAGTAGGAGGGAGAGAGAGAGAGAGAGAAACATCGACATGAAAGGGACACATCAAGTGGCTGCCACCCACACGACCCAACCAGGGCCAGGGACAAACTGCAACCGAGGCACATGCCCTTAGTGGGAACCGAACCCCGGTCTCTCTAGACTGCAGGCTGACGCTCCAACCGCTGAGCCAAACTGGCCAGGGCTGAAATGACTTTTTTAAAAAATATTTTTTCTTTATTGATTTTAGAGGGAGAGGAAGGGAGAGAGAGAGAGAGCTAGAAACATTGATGAGAGGGAACATCGACTGGCCGCCTCCCACTGGCGATTTGGCCCACAGCCTGGGCATGTGCCCTGACCAGGAATGAATGGTGATTTTCTGTTAGTGTGTCAGAAGCAGTATTTCTAAACAGTGCTACACATACTAGTGCATAAGGCAGGCGTAGAGTTTTTATGGAGTTACATTTTTTTTTAGTTGAGTTTTTTTGGGTGACATTGGTCAATAAAATTATATAGGTTTCAGGGGTACAATTCTATATTATGGAGTTATCTTGACATATAGTATATACAGGGTAGGGCAAAAGTAGGTTTACAGTTGTTTGTGTGGGAAGTAATACATTAATTAATAAATAGTAATACAGGAATAAACTTTGTGTTCCCCGTACTCACAACTGTAAGCCTGCTTTTGTCACACCCTGTGTTGTGACCTAACAGCAAATGTAACACTTCTTACACATTTATATAGACTTATCTCCCCTTGTTAGTTCCTGTTCCTTCTGCCCTGTTCCCTGGCTGGCTAGTGGCAACTTTATCTGCATCGAGCTGGAAATCCAGACATGTTTTCTCCTATTTCTTTCTCTCCCTCCCCTCTTTCTTCCTTCAGCACATCTTTATTAGGCTGCCCCTGCACGCCAGGCACTGTCCCGGGCGCTGTGTGTGTCTGCGGTGAGGAACTGATGCGGGCGCCCTGGTGTCAGGCTCGCGGTCCTTCAGGGCAGGGGGTGACTTAGTCGTGGTCCTGCTGAGTGACACGGGAAGGTCTCACTGGGGACCCCACCGAGTCCTGGGACTCTGGGCAAATGGCTCTTGCCTCTCGCTTTGCACTCAGCCCTCCCAGCCCTAGTTCAGGCTTTGAACACTTTTCTCTGCTTTGTGGAGGTTGTCTCCTGAGGGGTCCTCTGCAGGCTTTGCACTGACCCACACTGCACTGCTTGCCACCTGCGGCACTCTTAACGGAAGTCACCAGGTGAGCCTTCCCGTCTGGCTCCCCGGTCATCCCCATATGTAACCTCGGACAAGTGATGTTACCTCTCTGAGTCTCAGTTAACTGTAATATGGGCCTAATTTTATAGATGGGCTTGTGGAGAAGTTATATGAGCTAATATAAATAAATAAAGCTCTTAGCATGATGTCTGACACCTTCTAAGTACTGAGGAGACTTTAAGCTATTACAACTACTGCTGCTGCTACTCTGCCCAAAACCTGTCAGTCAGTCGTCATTGACTGTAGGACACAGGACAGATGGTCTAAATCAGGACATGAGTCTGTCTGTCTGTCCTGTAAGATGCCCCCGATGCATGTCCTGTGTTGTAGTACAAAGCAGACTGCAGTTTCCCAGCCCCATCATGCATTTTGTGCCTTCTTACCCATAGTTCCTTCTGTTTAGAAGCTCCCACCTTCATATGTAGTTAATTAGTTGTGCTTATTTAAGTTCCAGCCTCAGCTCTTCTGGGACCCTTCCCCCCCTCACCGTTGGTGCATCTTTTCCATCGTTTCCCTGGGACTTGTTTGTACCTATATCACCTGTGTATCCTCATGTACGTTCCTTTTTAAAAAAAAAAAAAATTTTTTTCTTTATTGATTTTAGAGAGAAAGGAAGGGAGAGAGGGAGAGAGAGCTAGAAACATCGATGAGAGAGAACATCGATTGGCTGCCTCCTGCATGCCCCCCACTGGGGATCAGACCCACAGCCTGGGCATGTGCTGTGACCGGGAATCAAACCATCGACCTCTTGGTGCAGGGTCTACCCTCAACCACTGAGCCACACCAACCAGGCTGTACTTTCCTTTTTAGTTTATTTGCTTGTGTGATTCACAATTAAATTGTAAATGCTTTGAAGACAGGGCTCCTGTCTTACTCAACTTTTAAAAATTTTAATTTTTTTTTTTTTTTTTTTTATCCTCACCCGAGGATATTTTTCCATTTTTTGTACAGCTAGAGTGGGAGGGAGAGAGAGGAAGGAGAGAGAGAGAGAGAAACATCGATGTGAAGGGACACATCGACTGGCTGCCACCCGCACGACCAACCAGGGCCGGGGACAAACTGCAACCGAAGTACATGCCCTTAGCGGGAACCGAACCCGGGTCTCTCCGGACCGCAGGCCGACGCTCTAACCGCTGAGCCAAACTGGCCAGGGCTAAAAATTTTAATTTTAATTCTCATTATTTTTTTTATACCTAGTGCCCAGCATGGTGTCTGACTCAGCAGGCACACAATTTTTGGCATACAGGTTTTGACCTTATCAAGTGGGTATTGGCACTTAAGAACTATTAAAATGATTTTATGAGTGAATGTATGAATAAAATATATTTGCCTATTTCTTATGAATTAATCTTAGAAATTAAAGAGTAAATATTTATTATGTATATTTATATTATGCATATATAAATTCATGATAATTGTCATGGTATTTATGAGTTTTATACCGAATGTACACAAATGTGTGTACATACCACGAAGGGGACAATAAGGGCAGATCGGAAGTCCTGTTTGCTTAGTGTCCTTTTGGTAATAATAGAAGGGAGTAGTGAATTTCTACAGCTTGGGGCTCTAGCATTTTTTGAATTTACTTTCTATAGTTTCTTTACTAACGCGTATTGAAATAGACCACATCTAGCTTAAATAATGTATAAGGATCAAAAGTTCCCAGAAGAATAACATGAGGATGGTGTTCAGTGACCTTTTCCCCAGTGCTGCCCTTTCGTTGGGTGAGGTTTGGGGAGCCTTCGTGGGCTTCTGAGCAGCATGCTGGGAATGTTCAGATTCAGACATGCAGGGCCCTTGAGCTTGGGCATTAGACATCTGCTAGTAAGTAACTGAGAAATACACAAGTTAACACGAAAACGGGAAGCTGAACTCTTCTGTATTCCACACAGATTATAATATTTGTTAGAGTATTATTTTATTAAAAAATTTTTTTTCTTTATTGATTTTTAGAGAGAGGAAGGGAGAGGGAGAGAGAGATAGAAACATTGATGAGAGAGGACATTGATTGGTCGCTTCCTGCATACCCTCCACTGGGGATCGGGCCCACAACCTGGGCATGTGCCCTGACTGGGAATCGAACCAGCGACCTCTTGGTACAGGGTCGATGCTCAACCACTGAGCACCAGCCCGGCTAGTATTTGTTAGAGTTTTAGTGGGTACAGTTAACGTGGCAGCATGGATGAGATAATAATACTTTGAGAGCTAATGCTTTATTTTGTTGGCTTCTGAATGTGAATTTATGACCTTAATGCTGCATTAATGGCTTCTTTCTATTTCATATAATGTGCAGTAATGATCATTTGCTTATTACCTGCCTCATTTTTATGGGAATGACTCTCATATG